AGGAGAATATAAGACCTATGGAGGTGAGGTAAATTGTCCAAAATGTCATAGTCCATTAATAACACCAAAATTCAGAAAAGTATGCTTTATTCAGACCTCAGCATTTTCAACATAAGGAAGACACACAATGGTGGTGGGAGTGATGGTGGTGGTGGTACTGTGTGCATGTGTGTGCGCGCGCACGCGCATGTATATTAATTGACATTTCTCAGGCAACTTCTATAGATTCCTAAAAACAAGACTTGTTTATATGTGTGTGCCTACAGGTGTGTGTGTGCAACGGTGTACACACTCAGTTGAGTCCATTAGAGGGGGTGCTTCTTAAAATAAATGAAGTTAGTCATTCAAGGACAACTGATTGCATGCACAGTATCTATCAGGTACTCCTCTGAGGAGCTGAGGACATTCCAATAAAAAAAAAAACAAAAAAAAAAAACAGTACTCTTGCCCTCAGAGAGTGTTATAAGCACATTGTCTCAGCCACAAGATCTGTCTAACCAAATTTCAACTGTCAAATTTACATGTCTCCCGAGAAGTCATTTTGAAGAAAATAAAGATGTGGCAGATTCTTAATCCCCTTAGAGAGTCTCCTTAGACACCATTTACAAATCATTCTTTTTTTGTGCCTATAATATAAAATAATTAACAATTGATAATCTCACCAAAGTTTACATGGACACAAAATGCATTTTATAGAAATCACTGAGTATATTTCCCATTCTTTGCTGAGGGAATGACATTGACTGCACTTCCAAATATATGGTAAAACTGTAGGATCTTGCAAAAAAAAATGGTTGTAAGGACTTATGTCCTATTTCAAACTTAATCCTGTCTACACATTTAGCCTTTTTAATCTATGTCGGTGAAAATGTGAATTTACAGTTACCTCTCAACAAAGACTATCTGTTTTTATTCAAACATGCATTTCATAACTAAAATCAGAGATGATCAATTTAAATGTGCATTTATTGAATGCTTGCTGTGCATGACATATGGTTTCTGATTTTATTCTCACACCAGCCAGTTCCAAGCAGTTCTATTTTACAGATAAGCAAACAGGCTCAGGGAGGCTAAATGGTGCATGTAACATGTGGCCCAGTGAAAAAGCTCAGTATTTGAATCCACTTTGGTTGATAGCAACCAAGTTTCACCTAATTTCTTTGTTATCTTTAAAAAGCACATAAAAAAATAAAATGTATCAAATGCTTATAGGATGTGCATACACAATTTCCATCTCTCCTTAAGAGAAAATGATCAACTTTGGAATACTTTTACAGAATTGATACCAATTTTAAATTATTTTCAAAAATATCATCAAAACGCAACAGACAACTTCCCAGTCCAACTCTGCTATTTCACAGATATGACATCAAGGATAACAATAATTACAATACTAGAAGTCCTTTTCTCCATGAAGGGAGAAGAATTCCTTAGAGGCATATTGAGGAGATGGACAGAGCCCAAGGCTACTACTGTAGAGAGTGAAATCTTGAACAATGACCATGATTGGCTCCCTCAGAAAAACCACTAGCAAGTTGGTTTTGGAAGATTTGCACATGTAAGCAATAAGACGTGTACATATACATTAAATTATCTTGATCCCATGCATTCTATTGAGGTTTTAGCCTATCACAAAGTAAAGACAGTTTTTTAGGTAATATAGGATTCATCATGAATAGCCTTCTAGTGAATCCAAATCGTGAACTTTGGGGTCTTAGTAGTAGTAAAGGAATTTTACACCTTTAACTTAAATTATATAATTGCATAGACTTTGTCTTTATTTTGTGCATTTCAGGTACCCACTATGTCCTATATAGCCAAAAGGATACATTTAATACACAAGAGCCATGCTGTGCAACTTTAAGAACAAAACTATACAAACATGATTTTTATTTTCTCCTAAATTCTCTTCTATGTTTTGCTAATGGTTTTCTATACTTTTTAACATAAATTCATTATTCACAATTTCTGGTCTGGAACAACATTTTATATCTAAAATGATATACTTCAGACAATCTGTCCTGATAAGACCTAAGACAAGGAACCTTACTACTAATGTAAGGTCACTTGCACAATCTCAGGAAGCAAATACAAATTAATTAATCCAAGAATAACCATAACAAACAGCCATCCTTAGAGGGCCTATTATGCTTGGGTTTTGCATAACATTACTTTTAATTCACAAAACAATCCAACAAATTAGATATTATCATTCCCATTCCACAAATGGGAAAATTGAGGGCCAGAGAGATTCCAAGTATTGCCCAAAGGACACAACAATTAAATTGCTGGAGGAACACATCTGCAATGTTAAAAGCAAATCTTGTAATACCTAGCAGATTTGGGCCTGTGCTTCTACCTATTCAAAAATGCTCCTCAGTGGGCACCAGCCTCTGCCTTGATATAAACTGGTCAGGTAAATCTCCAGTTCTACCATAGCCACAGTTCTTTCAATAGCCCATGAATAACTTGCTCTCAATGCAGGACCGGCTCTGGCTGCCAAGTCAAAGGAGCTTCAACCCAAGCTGAGTCTGCGTTCCTAACTGTAATGCTGGTGAAATGATTCACCACATGAAAAACATCCTTAGATGCCCTATTTGTGGAGGAGGGTGGGAGGACACATCTCAGCTCACAGTTTTAAACAGATTCTCTTTCCCTGTCTTTCCTTCCCTCCCTCCTTCTCTCTCAGGAATGTTGCATGTGTGTGTGTGGAAGGTTCAGTGACAGGTGCAATGTCAAAAAAAAAAAAAAGTCTTTGAGGTCTAACTGGAATAAGCACTGAGGAAATGTTGATGTTAAGAAAAAATTAAAAAAAAAAAAAACCAAAAAAAAACCTCCACCAATGGGCAGACCCATCCTAATCCTAATCACAAGGCCAGTTTCCCATATGAAGCTTAGAGTTGAACTACAAAGTAGAAAGCATCAGAGTACTTTTTGTTCCCCCTTCTTACTTTTTGGTCTGTTGTGCTAAGTTGTAGCTGATCAGAACCTTAACATAACTTGAGTCCTTCCATGACCACAGATTGTGAACTGACAATGGTCATATAAAACTAAGCAAGCAAGCAAACATACAAAATGATGCCGAGAATTATGGTAAAACTATGCAGAAGACTTTAGGGAAGAGCTCAAGAAATAAACAAGAGTCCTGCAGGAGTGTTTTCATAGGTTGGGAAAGAGATTACCTGAACTGGGTCCCAACTGGAAACAGGTGCCCAGAAAAATAAATTAGAGAAGCACTCAGCTATTGGCTACTTTAGTTAAGGAGTAATAAAAAGGATAAGAATAGGTGCTGTGAGCAAAAGAACAGAGGCAGACGCTTATAGTGGGGGTATTTCTAGTGTCTGTTACTGCCTCCCTAATATAAATCTAACTCCACAGTTTTTTTTAACAATTCTACTAGGTCCACCACTCAACAGGACTGAATGTGCCCAACACTAAAAAGGAACCCAAGGGACAGCTGCTGTTCATCTCCTTTGGGATATGCTAGAGTTGTGGCTCTTATTTAAAAAAAAATAAATAAATAGTATCAAAGCTAGACTTATGTGAATTATGAAAGAGAGAAAGAAAGAAACAAGGAAAAGAAAAAAGAATGAGGACAGAGAGGAGGGAAGAAGGGCAGGAAGGCTGGAGTTTACAATCCTTGAGATCTACACTGGTAGAAGTTTATTTCATTCTCTTGGGACTAGTGTACCCTCCCCTGACCCCTCCTAATAAAAATGGGAGCTGTGGTAACAGAACTAGCCATGCTGTGTATGCCTGACTCCTATCCAGTTTGGGTCTGAAACTTGTCTGCTGTTCTGAGGCTGTTGGTGAGTCACCTGTCTCATACTGTTTGGCCATTAACCAAAGAGTTACAGTTTCTCTAGGCCTCAGATTCCGCTTTTATTGGCATGACATCTCTGAGGACTCTTCTGGCACTAGTTATATGAGTCCATGATTCTGATAGAAGGCCCCAGAGAGGAACAGACAAGCAAGCGTGAAGCAGACTTTTGTAATAGAGTTGAGCTCCAGGACTCTGGCAGCTGTTGGGGAGGGAGGAGGTAATCCTGCAAGCCCTCAGGCTCTCTAAGCATTTTCAACCTCTCTTTCATCTTTATTTATTGACCCAACCACCCCTACCCCCAACAAAGCTGGCATATGACAAATATTGGTGCTCAACACAACAAACCTTTCTTTTGGTTTCTAATTCTAAGTTACCACAGGACATTAGATTCTGCTTATTTCTCAAGAGCTCTGTCCTAGTGATGGCTGGGAAGATTTCTGACATAACCCAAGCCAATTGCCCGAGTCCTTTACAATTATGTGCAATCTATTAGCCAAGGAAGCCATCAGTGAGAAGGGGGTTCTGTTGAAGAGAAGTGGGTCCTCCTTATTTCATTCTTAGCCCTGGTGAGAACTCTGTAAGGTGAAGACCATATTTAGAAGTGTGTGTGCAAGAGAGACTGTGCAAAGTGCAACCACCCCTTTCCACCAGTTTCCTCCCCCATGCCTACTCTCCAGCCTACAACTCACCCACCAGGCAGAAGCCATCCTTCACCTGCTTGGTTTATTATCATATTTTTGTGTGAATACATTCTGTTGATCTGCAATGTCAGATTGGATAATGAAATTTAAATTGGGTCCCTTGGATTTCCAATAGCTATACTTTTGTGCTTCTAACTCTGGGGCTCCCATGTAACTTAAATATATTCTAGAGTGTCAATCACACAGTACCAGCACCCCACACTGCAGCAGCTTTCTTGGGGATATTTTTTTTTTCTTACTGAACATTTGCAAAAGCGCTTCCCCAGGATGCAGACAACCTGCATCATTATAGCAAACCAGCTTATCGGTGAGCACAGCCTGATGGAGCAAATGCGAGGGCCACTCTGTCCCTTATTTTCTGTGCCCCAGTAGCCAGATCTTTTAAAAACCACAGGAGAAGGGGATAAAAGGAGAACAAGAACACCAAATTAATGAACATTGTTTTACAAATAAATAAGAAAATAAGGATCACTCACTGTATTTCAGACTCATCACAGCAACATCCAGATGGAAATCCAGGTGGTTAAGAACAAGAGAAAACGCATGATCTTGACACCAAAATGAGAGGGAGGGAAAAAAAAAAAAAAAAAGGTTGATAAAAAAAATCCAACTGCAATTATCCGTCAATTTTAGTCAACATAGGCACAAATCCAACTGTGCTTTGCTGGTTTCTCTCCCCCAATCAATGCCTCATTCTGCCGCGGTCAACTTTTCTTCTCTGAAATTTCTTTGCAGATGTATTATTAATTTCCTCTCCTCTTGTGGGAAATTCAAAAAGAAAAAAAAAACAACAACAAGAAGAAGAAGATGATGATGATGATGAAGAAGAAGAACCACCATATCAGGTCTTTACTTTCCTAAAAAAGCCCCAAACTTTTCACTCCAAAAATATCTCCTTGGCGCACTTTCTCCTTTATAGAGAAAAATGAGCATACTTTTCCTTCGTGGATCCGCGTTTTTTCATTTCCAATCATCCTTTTGGGGAGGGGGAGCAACTGTCTTGTTATTATTTATTTGTCAGAAACACACCAATTCCCGCAGGTCTGCCACTGGCTTATTTCATTTTTCAACGCTCCCGGTGTGCACATACACACATTTAGGTTAAGATCCAGGTCTCAGAAGAAAAAGCTTCGTTCTTCCTTCTCTCTGGCACGATCAGTTTATCCACTGCGTTCGGCTCCCAGAGAGAGCTGCGTCCCGCATTCTTCATTTTTGCAAGGCACCCAGCAGCCACCGCCACCAAAAAAGTCACCTCTTACATAGTCGATTCCTTTTTCTACACCCCCCCTTCCAAGAATTTGGGGATCAACTCCCCCCACTCGCTACCCTTCCGGCCGGCCCCTTTGCCAAAGATCTGATTAGATTTCGCATCACAACCCAGTGCGCAATTGGATTTTTGATTTCAGCCACCCGGCCAGCCACCTTCCCCTCTCCCCTCGAAACTCCCGGTTATATCCTGTCTCCTTCCCTCCACCGCCTCTGCAATTTCATAATCTCACGTTAAATGGAGTGCGGGGGGCGGGGGCGGAGGTAGTGGAGGAAAATTTCAAGGCTCCGTCAGCTGTCAAGAAATCCATTCCTCCCCCCCGCTACTTTTTTTTTTTTTTTTAAAGGCTCGGGGTGGCTTTCACTCTGTCCCCGCCCCCACCCCAGCACCCGGTCCAGATCTTCCAGGTGTGGCAGAACTCCGCGATCAGGGCCAGGATCACGGGGGAGACGCGTGATGCGGTCCCTCGCCGGTGGCCCCTGCCAGCACCCAGGTCCCCTTCTCCTCCATCAGCGGACAGCAGATCCAGGGGCGCCAGCGATGGAAGTTCGGACTGGGCTTTTATTTCAAATGGGGAAGGCAGTGGTGGGACCGACGCGGTGTGGAACAAATTTTTAAAAGAAAAAAAAAAAAAAAGGAAAAAAAGAGAAAGAATAAAAAAGAAAGAAAGAAAGAAGAAACAGGAACGAAGGTTTTTAAAAAGAAAAAAAATTCCCTAATCGCTGGCTCCTCTCATCCTTCTCGAATGAAACTGCAGCTTTGATCTCATTTCCAGCTGCGTTGGGTACATTTTGGAGCCACAAGTTGGTTCCTCTTGGCGCAGACCTTTCCGACGCCGGCAGGTCCTCCGCGAGGAGACGCGTTGTCAGGCGCACAGCCGCTCCGCGCCGACCTTAGCGCCATCGCCCTGGTTGGCGGCTCCCTACTCCGCAGAAACCCCGGTCCCCTTCCATCCACTTCGGCCGGAACCCACTTCTTACCCCTTGCTCTCCTCCCTCCCCTCCTTTTTCCTCCAAATAAATAAATGCGCTTCCTGTGCCGGCTGCAGCTGCCTCCAGTCTAGGCTTTCTCTCGACCAATTCTGCGTCCTATCATTTAGGGTCCTTGCTCCCCAAAGGCTCCCTTTCGGACTGCAGTCCCCTTCCCTTCTCTTCCCCTCTTTCTTTCCCCTTTCCCTTTCCCTTTCTCTGCTAGTGATCAGTAAAATACAATTACCCAATTACCTCCCATCATCTTAGCAGTGATTGGTCAATTGCATTAACACTTGAAGTCAGGGAAGAGGGGGTTGGAGCCTCTAAGGTGTGGCACTGCTGCCACCTGGAGGGCAGAACCGGAACAGCGGCATTTCAAAACACCCCCCCACACACACACACACCACCACCACCATGCACACACCCCCCATGCTAGGAGGTTAGTATTAGGTTAGTATCAGACTGTGAGGGAGAAGTTGTCCGTTTTTTTCAAAAAGCCTGCTTGTTTTCATCCGGAAAGCTAGGAGTTTTGAACTACAATGTGGAAGATATTGAAATCAAGTCACCATTAGGATTCAAAATGATCACCAAACACACAAAGCTGTTACTTTCAGATTGCAAGGTGAGAGCCTCTTGGAAATGAAGCAGGCTGGTCCCAAGGCAGGGATTAACATAGTACTGTTCTTTAGAACTGGTTCCTCAGAAAGAATCAGAAGTAGCTCAAATGCTACTGGGGAGGGAGCCTGTGGTTGAGCAGAATAATCTCACCAGAAGGAAGCAACTGTAAAGGCCAGATAGGAGCCTTCAGCCTATGCAGTGTTGCAATAAATTGGCCTGTTCAGTTTGTACAAGACATCCACGACAGCTTGACAACTCAATTCCACATCCCTTGCTCCTAGATGTGGGCTTTCCCATCACCTAGAGTTAGGGAGGCAGTTGGCACATTTCAACTTCACTGGTCTCCTAAGAAGAAGGGACATGGCCCACAAAACAAAGATATTCACACTATGTTTATATTTGCTTTCTCTTTCCACTATGTAATACTTATAAGGTCCTTTCTATGAACTATGGTTGTTCCTTTTATGTCATTCAAATAGGAAACCTTGAGATTAGAAGTGCATAAAACTAGGAATGATAATTCAAAGGACAACAAAAAATTAAATCTGTGGCGAAGGGGGGAGTTGATAAATATTTCTGTTTCAAATTTTCTATATAATGATCTCTGTGCTGATTTTCTTTGTTTTTGAGAGATCAGAGTATGTACTTAGTTTTAAAACAAAGAGAGCAAACCATTATGAGAAGTAGCATCAGTCAGAAAAGCCTTTTTACTAAAGGAACATCAGAGGCATATCCAAGTTCATACCAAATGTTCTTTCTACTTTTTTTCCTGTTTCCTTTATAGTACAATATATAATCCCATGCTCAGACTTTAAAAAATTTTCATCTATAAGTTTCTTAGGGGGCTAAAATTTTGCTGTAATATGGACCTTAGATATAATAACCTGCAAACAAAAGACCTTTCTTCACACATGGATTGTAATTCATTAAAATCCCTCCACCTTTTTGAAGGTTTTCATGTAATTATTAATCATGTCAAAATGCATATCTGTTGAGGGGGATAGGCATTGCTTCTATTTTTAATAAATGCTGCACTGATTGAAAACATTAATAGGCAGCTGAGTACAACTTCAATTTTTGGGTTTTATTAAATATTTTTGATCTGAAGGGCAATTTTTTAAGAATTTTAATTTTATGTGGTGCTGATGATCGAACCCTGTGCCTCCCACATGCAAGGTGAATACTCTACCATTAAGATACAACTCCATCCCTAACTTGTGTTTTTTGATTGCAGCTTATCAACAACTAAACCGTTGAAAAGTATATTCACTATCTTCTCTAGATGGCTTCAGAGGAGTCTACACTCTGTTTCGGAACTATGCTGGAAAACATGAGAAATAAAAATGTATATTTTAGGGGTTTTGACTGCAAGGGAAAAGGCCAGAGATTTGTTTATTCAGAGCTGGTTAATATCTATCTACCAGACATCTTTAACACCTCTTAGAATGAATTAATCTATTGAACAAAAACAGCAGGGAAGTATCGGTGTTAGTTAATCAAAAAGGAAAAGCAAGGAGTCCTCATTCCTGTTAGCTATCACACCGGCAGCAGCTGCAGTACCTTTTCCCACATCTGCTATTTATTTGCACTATAAGAACTTGACTTAGTTATTTGACTTTCATTTTTAGATTTAGCTTCAACTGATAATTATATGTACAATATGTTGCTAGATTTCTCACATTAAGCCCACTGTTAAGGATTGGGGCAGGGCATCCCACCCTCAATGGAAGGTCCCTGCAAAGTTATATAACACAAGAGAGTGAAGAACCAGGGTGGTCATCACAGTCAACCACACCCTCTATCTCTGACATCACCTTATTTAATACTCAAAGCCACCTCCTGAGAGGTTTTGAGGGTGTGGAAAGTGAAATGCAAAGTCACATACTTGGTAAATGACAGCCAAGCTTTGAACCCAGACCTATGCAATTTCTAATTTTCTAGTTTTGCTTTGACTTCTAGGTTGTGGGTAACATGGGGAATGCCTCTAAGATAGCCAGAATCACACAGTCATCAGCACTGATTCCTAGAGATGAACTTGTAACCCTGTGGGGAAACAGCATTGTCATATTTGTCACTGAATGACCTTACTAAAAAAAAAAAAAATTGAAATAAATAGTGAATAAACTAAATGTCATAAAAATACATGAGCAAATTTAATCATTGTTAAGAACAATGTAAATATAGATAGTTATACAGTAGAGGTTGCTAGGTACTGTCAATAATGACAGGGTCTGTGTTCAGGTAAAATTCATCATAAAAGCTCTGTTAGAAGAAATAATTGTCTAATCAGTAATTGGTCACATCTTCATACTCTCAATTAGTCTGTCTAGTTATCAGGGAAAGGACAAAATGCCATTGGAATGAGATGAGTTGGAAAAGGAGAGGCAGGGATCAGCATGACATGTTTGTCCCATGGACATACAGAGCTCCACCCCGATTCTCTGATTTCCAGACATTTGAGTAGTGAAACACAATTATCAAATTATTTTACTGTGTCTTGGTGACTCTAACTGGTGTAATCTTTAGCAAACAGCAGGGGACAGTATCTTGTAATCAGAAATACAAAATAGGAAATAGAATGAATTCAGTAACTTTGCTTAAAAATTAAAAATATAGAAGTGTGTATTGTGTTTATTAATTAGATTTAATAGTCTGTAGGCTACTCTATTGAAGAATAATACATTCTTAAGCAGTGAAGCTTTATTCTGTGTTATTAATTCTGGAAATTGATATTCACTTTTTACTTCCAACACTATTACACTAGGACCAGAATAGCCTGTAAAATAAGTGCATCAAGCTTGCCTCTGTAGTTACACAAGATGACATGAGTTAACTTCATCAGATTCACTTTTATTGATTCATTTATTTATTTTGTACTAGGCCTTGAACTCAGGGGTACTCTACCACTATATCTGTTAGTCTTTTTCCTTTTTATTCTGAGACAGGATCTCACTAAATTGTAAAGGTTGGATTTGAATTTGTCATCCTCCTGCCTCAGCCTCCTGAGTGGTTGGGATTTCAGGTATGCACCACTGTGCCTAGTAGATTAACTTCTTTTTTTAGAAATTACTTTGATGTTAAAACACCAAAATTAGTGGGGATTTATAACATGTGTGGTGCTAGATAATATTTCATACATGTTGTATTCCAGAGCTAGAAGATCCTAACAGCCATCTATTCTTTATTCCTTGAAAAAAATGGATAAGTAGCCAAAGGTCCCAGTACATTTGCAAATCTCTACATTTTTGAAAGGTCTACCCTTCATGATGACTACCCCAATATCAGTCCTCACCCCATATAGTCTTACTTTCCTGTGCTCTTATGCTTCTAAAAATATGTACTAAATTTGGGCTGGGATATAGCTCAGTTGGCAAAGTGCTTGACTTGCATGCACAAGGCCCTGGGTTCAATCCCTAGCACCATAAAAAACAAAACAAAAATATGTACTAATAACTAGCATTTAATGAGAGCTTACAAATACCAAGCATAGTTCTAAGTAGATTACAGATTTCAGCTCATGATATTGTCCAACCATGTAAGGTAGATAGCATTCCATATCATTTAAGAGAAATTGGGGTTGAAGTTAAATAAAAGCACCCAGCTAGGCAGTGAAGAAGGCAAGATTGTAGCCCTGATTAATTCACTTCAGGGACTGTGGGTGTTAACAAATACTTATAATGGATAGAAATAATTTGCTCCCAGTCTGTATTCCCCTGTAAATCATGATAGATCTCAAAAGTGCATTTTCACATTTCTAATGCTTTGTATATTTTTGAGTGGATAAATGTCTAAGATTATGATATTAGGAAATGGAATGGCCTACATATTTTCTCTCTTATCCAATATTCTTTCTACTGCAGTATACAAAATGTTAGAAAGATGAGATACTTTTTACAATCATTGAAATACAAAAAAAAAAGAGAAAGAGAAAATGAGACCAAAAGAGATGATTTCATCAGAGAAGTATATGACTTGTGAATCAGTTAGCAATTGATTCTCGATAAAGCAGGCCATGACTTAGTAGCTGAAAACAACAATCTTTTATTTCTCATGAGTCTGAAGGGCAGAGACTGGTTAAGTGGCTCTTCTCATCTTGGCAGGCTCAGTGTTTGATGATCTAGAATGGTCTTGGCTAGGGTCACTGGGCCAACCAGTACAATCCATGACTCACTCTCCCCTTTCATCAGTTTGGCCCAAGCATAATTCCTGTCACTGGCAAAATTCCAAGAGAGCCAGCAGAAAAGGGGATGAGTGTTTTTTCAAACTTCAGTGTGAATTGGATCAGTTGATTTCCCACTGGACAAAGCATATCACTTGGTTAAGCCCACTGTTAAGGATTGGGACATGGCATCCCACCCTCAATGAAAGGTCCCTGCAAAGTTATATAACACAAGAAAGCGAAGAACCAGGGTGGTCATCACAATCAACCACATCCTCTATCCCTGACAAAGAGCATATTTCTTTAATGATTACTGGGTTTTACTGGCAAGAAAATTTTCCATGTTTGGCACAATTTAAACAAATTACTTATTCCAACAGATGAATCATAACTTTCCCTTATGTGCAAGGTCTGATGGAAGA